ATGCAAAATATTGAAAATAATTTGTGAGAGTTTGAAAATGGCACGCATAGTGTCATAGGTTTCGTGAGTTGCACTTTGTGTCACTTCTGGTGCAGCGAGACAACGATTCAGCAACACTGATTGTAGTGTGAACTAGTGTAGTGTTGTCACTTTTCAGTGTATTCAGTTGTCTCTGTTCCATTGTAACACAAGAGTGAACTGTGGTAGCACACCATTATTGTTTTTGCAAATTTGTATATATCTTTATTTTATATTTTTTGGGTCGCAAAAAAAATCACAATCATAAATGGGGTCGTGAATAAAAAAAGTTTAAGAAGCCCTGATATAAATGATAGAATTCTATAATAGTGAAAGAATTAATATAATTAAAAATTAGTCAGTATTTTTATATAATGAATTTTGGTATATTTTTTCTTTCCTACTTAGTTAATAAGGCAGCGTCTTCAGAGGACAACATTAAATAGTAGGGGAGCTGGAGGACATAGTCCTGTGCAAGGAGACCATTCAGCCATATCATCTACCTGCACTAGTTTTCCCAATACCACTAATTTACCGTCCATTCATACAGGTGTTGCAACCCATCAATTAGCATATCCCTCACATCCACCTCTCATAGCTAACATGAGTCATGCAGTACCAATTCCCATTCCAAGCACTTCCTCGAAACCTCCGATGCCAAGGATGCGCAATAGTGTAGAAGGGTTGAATCAGGTAATTTAACATTTTAATTACGATTTTTGTAAATTTATTATTAAATATGAAAAATTGTTTCTTTATGTAACATTTACATTAAAAAATCTTTAAATTAGGAAATAGAAAAATTAGTATTGAAAGGAATTAGCAGTACTGAAGATCCAGAATTAGAAAGAGTAAGTTCTTATATGAATATCATATAATAATATAATTACAGTATTTACCAGCATATAAGGTGCACTTTTTTCCTGAAAAATACTGTCTGAAAACGGAGTGTGTCTTGCATGCTGGCAAATATATAGGGTGTTTTGAAACTCATGGGCAAAAATTTAAGAGGTGATAGAAAACATCTAAACAAGCAATTTTCACCATACAATGCATGGGTGGAGAGCAAGTGGTGAACTGCTAGATGGTAATGGAAAGCATAAAGCGCAAGTTTTCTTACACATTGTCATTTCTACCGTGGATTTCAGAAGGCATGGTGACGTACAGTAATCAAGAAAAGGCGGATAAGCATTTTATGTATGGTCTTGCGAATGAGAATGCTCTGGAAGCCGAAAGACTGTACAGGCAGCGTTTCCCAAGAAGACACGTGTCAGACCGAAAAATGTTTGAGCGAATGCATCAGTGCCTGTGCAAAACAGGATCCTTTGTCACTGGCATGCATGATACAGTTGCTCTTTTGAGCAGTTTCTGTAATTTTGCCACACATGCTGTCAATAAAATTATTTAGTACCTCCTCTATCTGTTTGGTGTTTCATTCTTTCATATGACAGTAATGGATACCTCCTAGCGGTTCACTGCTTGTTCTCCACTCATGCATTGTATGGTGAAAATTGCTTGTTTAGATGTTTCTATCACTCCTTAAATTTTTGTCCATGAATTTTGAAACACCCTGTATATAATATTTTTTTTATTTGTCTATTACTTATCATCTGAATGTTACCAGGTCCAGACTGGTGCTCCCTTCTTTTATAGAATGCATAAAATGTTTTGATTGGCTTTTCTATTTTAAATTTTTAATGGTTATATACAGTCTGATTGTAAAGGTTCTTCTTCACCAGGTACTGGTACAATATATATAAAAAATATAATCACAATAACTGGTCAAGCAAAGGTTTATTGTGATTATATTTTTTACAGTCTGATTGGCTTTGACTTAAAACATCACAGTGTAACCGGCATAACTCTACATGTATTTTTATACCTTTTATATTGTCCATTTTCTAAAAATTGTTTTTTTACCATATTTCAAAAAATATGATGAACCTTGAAAACATATTTTATGAAAATTTTAATTATTTTAAAAATACAGTAGTCCCTCATTATATCACAGATTCAGATATATCATGCTTCCTCCCAAATTTAAAAAGCACTCAAGTCAATAAATTTTTAAATATCAATTGCCATTGAATTTTTTTTCTTTCCAACAAAATACAGTATTTTATTCCTAACATTGTCCTTGAAACTACATCTGCAGGTGAAACAATAAATTTGTCAAGATCTAAATATGCAAAACAGCTGGACAGATCAATTATCATTTGTTTCCTTTTGATATTAAAAGTTGTTTATTTATTGGTTTTAAGTACAGTCTCCTCATTTACAAGTTCTGTGAATTCAAAATTTCACACCTTTATGTGAATTGATGCAATACTATCAATTCACATAAAGGTGTGAAATTTCAAATTCACACTGAGTAAAGCTAAGGAACTTTCTTTCTGAGCAGAAAGTTCTAAAATTTTTATACAGTAGTAACTTTGCTTTTTTAGAGAATTTTTACNAGCGACATTCTGGTGGTTGTCCTGTCCAATTTCCATCTTTCGAACATGTTCTTATAAAATTTCCAAACATTTTATGTCCAGATTCACAATGATACTCTATTTGTGAATGTATTGTAAAGATCTCTCCTGTGAAATAGGAACCCAATGGCGAATCTGGGTTTCCGCAGTTGATTACTAGAAAAATATAAATTACATGAATTTTTAAAATAAGCGATTTATTCTGAAATATAGTACAGTACTGTATAATAAAATCACAACTGATATTTTATTTTTATATAGACAGAATTTGTCTTTAAATGTCATTCTTAAAGAAACAATAATGCTAAATAGGTGTTTGTGGTACAGTAATACCCTGAACTTACGCGATAGGTGAGATCGAGTGATAACCGCGTAAGTCGGGGTATAATTTCGCATATAAATACATACAAATAATTTTTAATTGGGGCCGGAGACTAAATAAAACAATAATTTGTAAAAAAATGTTTAATAAAATCTTAGATAATACATATGTATGACAAATTATATTATACAATTTTTCACGTTTACTTGATTATCACACCATAATTTTAACATTGTTTCCACCTCAGTGATAATACCGTGATGTTTACAAATGATGATTGAATTTAAAGATTGATCATTTTTTACAGCTTTGAGAATTTTTCTTTTACCTTTTATAATTGTTCTGACCATTGATTCCGGTAGATCAAACTTCTTTGCCAATTCACAAATTTTCATTTCTGTATGGAAGTCATTAATAATGTTAACTTTACATTCCAAAGATAAAATTTTTCTTTTCTTGTTTGATGCAGAAGAATTAGTTCTACTTCATTTGGATGACATAGTAGAGTCTCTCAAGTCTCCATAGATATAACAAACACAGGAATAAATAACACAAAATAAATTGTAGCTATATGTCAATTCTGTGCAACACATTTGAACATGTAAGCTGAACAATAGTGTGGGGGGAGTGAGTAATCAAGAGTTGCGTTGTGCTCAAGCAAAAGATGAATCAATGAGATTTGAAAATCGCGTAAGTCGGGGTAGCATAAGTTGAGGTATTACTGTATTGATGTTTATGCAAACGTCATTTAATATGATATAACAACGAATAAAATTCAGTATTGCAAAATGGCTTATTTTATATCAGAAATTTGCTGATGAAAGAATAGAGGATAGAGATTCCATAGCATGTATAATACAGTAGTCCCTACATAGTATGTACAGTGGTACCTCAAGATACAAAATTAATCCATTCTGAAACTGAGATCGTATCATGAAAATGTCATAAGGTCAATCATTTTTCCCCATATGATTACATGTAAAACCAAATAATTCGTTCCAACATGAAAAACACACTCAAATTAAAGCTAAGTAGTACATTAAAAAAAACAAAAACTATAGTAAGGAAAACACTAAAAAATGCGTTTTGTAGTTGTAAATGTATAAATAACCATAATAGAAAAATAATTGATAAAAAAAAAATGGAGTTTTATTTGCACTTTACCTTTGAGGATAGACGACGGTGGAGGTGTAAACTGGTGGCGGAAGAGAGGGAGAAGGGAAATGATACTAAAACTTAACTTACATAACATAATGTAACAATAACTTAAAAATAACTTAACACTAATTTTTTTTATCTATTCTGTTTTATACTTTTTTTTTAAATTTTATTCACTGCTTTTTGCTTTCTTTCCTTCACTTCCACCAGCACTTTCACTGGATAGAGGTTGCTTGGTAATATATCTATCCAAAGAGGTTTGGCTTTGCCTACTTTTTAAAATGTTTCTAAAATGACTTAGGCAAATGTCATTACTCCGAGCAGCAATACGGCCAGTGTGAACTTTTTCGGGATGTTTCTTTTCAATAAAATCAGTCACTTTCTGGTAATACCTCAAGATTTCCTTTATTGAGCGAGATTCTTTCATGACGAAGCAAACACACGGACTGAGACCAATGAACAGAAGTGAATAAAAAATGGCACTGCGAACTAATGTAACGTCGTATGGTGAGTTTTTGTTCGTATTGTGGAGCAAAAATATGTTCGAATTTCATGTTGTATCCTGAAAATTTAGTATGCTGGGTATTCGTATCCTGATAACTTAATTTTTTTTCCAAATATTCTTTTATATTCCATAATAAGTTGATATTTGCTCTCATTAATCTTGTTTGGTTTAAGTAACTTTTTCGATTTCCTCTCTAGGCAATACCTAATATCACTAGTTAGGGTCCTTGGGAAGTTGAACATACTTATCAGTTAATGTGATATCTGCTTTAATTTCATTCAGTATATCTGTTTCTAATTTATCAGCTGGAATTATACTTAAACTATGTCTTTAAGGTATGCTTTAATTCTTTTAATATAATTTTGAAATTTAATATATTTCTTTTTGTAATTTTTATTTTTATCAAATTGTTTTATTATTTTTGCCAAATCTGCTCGTTATCCAATCTCTTATCATACTAATAACTCATTTTTGTTCAACTTCCCTGGACAATTATAATTTAAACAAAATTTTAAAAACTTAAGAATAAAATCTGGTATAACACTACTAGATTTATAAATGACTAGATTTTTTTTTCCACTAATTGTTCACTTGTAGTGGGTGCATTTAATTTTTTAGCTATATTTGTTAAATTTTTTCTCGACATATGATTTTTGAAGATTTAGATTAGAAATATATTTGCATCTTTTTAAGCTTTAAGTTTTTTAATTTCGTACTTTTTATGATTAATTATGGATTGCATAATAATTCTAATAACTTTTCTTACATTATGTTTTTGCATGATAAATGAAAAAGAGTAAAATTAAAATTAAAGAAAGAAAAATATAAAACTTAATACTTTATGACATTTACCCAGATACCAGATGTTTGTGTTCAATTTATCCAACCCTTCGATGATCTCTGATGCATTTCCTGCATTTTGGTTTTGTTGTACTTGCATGATGTGTTCAAGCTTCTTGTCCTATTCCATTGTTCTACTTCTTAAATCTCACAATTTGACAAATGTAGGACTTAACATACAGTGTGTATGTTTAACAGAGCATAATAAAATTAATCACTTTATATTGTCGTTTTTGAATGTATTTCAGGTGTAAACCACTCTTCATCACCCTGGAGTGGGACTGAAAGCTGAAACCCTGCATGCCAAGCAGATGTATTGCCAATTATGCTACCCAGACCTCTGTCTGATCTTCACTTCCATAACTATTAATTTAGATATAACCATACTAGTCATTCCTATACCAACTGGGGGTGGCGTCTGTAACTACCATCCGTGGCACTCAGCCATCTATGTGGGAGTTGCAGGTTTGAGTCCTGCTCTGGGTTGATTTTTTTTCTTTCATAATCTTCTAAATTAATTAGCTGAAATAATTATAATTATTAAATTTATCA